CGAAGCATCTGGCGGGTCTTTAGACCGTTGACACGTTTCATGCGCGCGTCCATATCTGCTTCCGCACCTAAAGATGTCGGGCCAGCAAAAACAATCAGATTTTGGGCAGTATCTTCATTTTTCGGGGTGGCCACACAAGGGGTATCATGTGCGTTGTGCAGCCATCTGTACTTGGGTTCTAAAAATCAGGTACCACTATGCACTGGGTATAATACGGATCAGTGCAGTAATACTGAAAACATGGAGATATTATATACGAAATTTTTAAATGAAAGCTATAACTTTGAGACGTTCAGTGCTTCCTCAAAAGAGGTATGTGATAGTAGAAGCTCTCACTGCGAGCCGCACTCGATCGAACACCTTCCGTGAAAATGGTAACCGTTCCTTCCTCTGGCAGGATGTAAATGGTCATTTGCAGTGATAACAGCTCCTGATATCTATACATAATCCATTCGATTGTCTACCACTTTTCTTAAGTGATTAAGTACATCAAACACAAATGATATGTCCGGTTATGTGATGATCATAACCGCGACTTCTGTCACTTCAAATCTTCCCGTAAGGGGAATGACCCTTTCTTAGATTATGTTTGATTGTACACACTCTCGCGGTTGGACTCTTGCTTGGAGACGCAACCGTGACCCGCGTTGGAGCATGGCCAATCATTGACTGCCTCAAGAGATCTGCTCCGCTTTGGCCCTCAGAATTTTGGACCCTCGGCTCTAGCCTAACGGTGGGTGCCATCTGCTATCTCATCGACGCTTGGGCTTGACGCTCTCGGGAGTTCCTCACCGGCGCATTTCTAAAGCGGGTGGGCGTTTTCTGGTTAGCGATTACCGCTTTCGATCTTCTACTGCCAATCTCATGGCCCTGTCGGGATCAACGATAGATTGTGCTTACTAGACTGGCCCGTGACAGACGCTTGATCATTACGTGGACATCGGGTCGTGACTACTAGAGCTCCCAAGTGCAATGGATTTGCCGTGGACTTTTCAAATGGGGAGCTTTGACAATATAACTACGTCAACAAAAGCACAAAGATTAGATTCGTGCGCTCCTACCAGGAGTGGAATGGCGAGCCTGATAACTCAAGAGGATATATATCTAATTTGCTCTTTTTAGACTAATATATAATCAATAATTCCATTTAATTTTTATATGCTTTTCTTTTTCCCTTTTTACAAATACCGATCATTTACATTTACTGTAATATAAATTTAGCACAAATGCATTGTATTGGCAACTAAACGTTACGTAAGTTTTCCACACTCAACCATACTGTCAAATGCATCGTTTTGTTTTTATTCTATACAGGTCTTAGAATCTTCTGAAGTGCCAGAAGGCATGCCAATGTTACCTAAAAATATCAAACGAGAGAATTACATTATGTACAAGCTTGTGGGCTAGAAATCGCAATTGTCGTAAAGCCTGTCAGATTATGTGGAAGGATATAACCACTCACTTAAAATAACGCTAAGCATCCGCCAGCGTGATCATATGAATCATCTTCGACAACATCATCTTGGACTTTCGAGCTCTTAATATCATGTGAAAATGAGTTTATCACTGGCACGTTAAAAGACCCATAACAACTTTGTAGGCAAATATCGTAAAGAAGGAACTTCATGGGAAAACTTCGTTTAAGAAAACTGTTTCACTATAAAAACAAAGCCAGCGAATATTACCACACTAAATTTGAAAGGAAAACTAATCCGTCACAATTGATTTTGATTGTTAGAGGCTCGAACTGCGCTAAAAAGATGATAACACATTGGTGGGTCTACATCTAAATAACAATTATGCAAAAAAAAATATTTATGTGTCATCTGACCTTTCTCACGATATGACTATTGTCGTATGTACAAAAACTAAGCGTAATGTGGTCTCGTCATTCGAGTAGACATTGGAGCCCCTGCTCAGTTCCACGTAGAAATAGCTCAATAGAGAAGTTTTGATGAGATTCACCTTGCCCAAAAATATCCTCCCACCTCTCACGTTGTCCGATGAGCAGCGAGACTCTTTAGTCAAAGAAGCAGATACTGTCGTACAAGAACTTGTTGCAGCAAACGAGAGCTTTAATTCTCAAGGGTGTACGCTTGCGTATCCTGATTGGAAACTCGTGCGGGCAAAAGATGGTGTACAAGTGTATCGACAGCGAAAAGGAGCGATGAAGCAAGAGTCGACACCGTGCTCGCCGCCAGTTCTTCAAAGTTCATCACAGCCAAAAGAAGACGAATTCTTTCGATTTCGCACATTTAGTAGCTGTAGTAACGTCGACATTAGTGCAAAAAACGACACGTACTCTTCATCTTGGTCTGGTATCTCATCTGAAAATATCATGGAGAAAATGAGACCGCCTGGTGTGGCTCTCTTGGCTTTACAGGGCGTAATGGATGGTACCATAGACGATTGTATGTTTGGGTCTGTCGCGGCTACGGATGAGGCTTGGAGGCTGCGCAGCTCACACATTAACGACCATCTTGATGACGCTCGAATTCTAGCAACTCTTCGAGCACCGACCTGTACCGATCCCTGTCAATTTCTAGGAGTCAAGTGGTTCGTAAAGGAGCATCCAGTCATTCTCAAAGGGATTGTCCAGCAGCGCGATTATCTCATTCTTGAGTCCTCGGGCTTTACATACGATTCGAAATGCGAAAGAGTTGGCTATGTGCTGCTGCATTCAATTAAACTACGGGATGTTCCGGAACTTATGCATTTGGGAATCATTCGCGGAGAAATGAGTTTCTGCTACATATATCGACAAGGCGGACCTGGTAAAATTGACATTTTTTGTCGTGGGTTTTATGATTCCCGCGGTGGCGTACCGAGTCGTATATCGGTGTCACTCGCCGCGGAGGCTGCGATCTGCTGTACTAATGTTGTGGACTATGCGGTCATTAAAAAGCTGCGATGGCTCATGACCCACGCAAGGAAGCGCTCGATTGAGGCCAATCAGTTCAACACTCAGTATTGCGAAGCTTGTGCGAAGAAGCTCAATACGATCTCATTATCCAGAACTCGTGTGCCTTGCAGAATTTGTTTTCAGATTGTCTGCTCAAAATGCAGAGTAAGCAAGAAAATGACTGTGCACGTGTCAGACAACGGATCAATTCAACAACGATCCGTGCAGTTTTGTCTGCGCTGCGTGCGTGTAGCAAAGCAGCAAACCGGTTGGCAGATGGAAAGCATTCTCAGCGAATTGTCGACAGCTTATCATTCGACAAACTCGTCAGGGTCAACTTTAGCGTCTGAAATTTAGGAAAATTTCAATTCCAATATTTGTGTTCAAAAGGTGACATACATAAGAGTTTTATTTGGTAAAAGGGTTACATTCCAATCTGCTGGCTGCTTTACTACTTTTTACCTTGAAGTATGCCAGCAAAGCATGTATTCGTCGTAGAGAGCGAGAAAGCATCATTCATTTAAATCATTGGCCTTCCAACTCATAATATTCCAAATTAACGACGTACATGTCACAAAAGCTACAATCGATTCAAAGAATTTATTATGGAGTTAAAGACTTACAGGAAATAAAACATTAAATCCCTAATTTGTCATTAAGGAATATTCGAAGCTCATTTTGTAGCGATATTTAATCGTACATAAGGTGAGTTTGAATGTAGTTGGGACCACATATTACTGTGACAGATGCGATGTTATAGTAACAGACGGCGAAGTTAATGAATCCTCGAGAGTATCTATGGCTAGCTCCCAGCTCGATTTTTCTTTTGCTTTATACATGCATCGCAGACAAAACTTAAGCAAGCATTGTTGGATTGATCCTGAATCAGGCACGTGGACGGTCATCTTCTTGTTCACGCTACATTTTGAACAGATCACATTGCGACAAATTTGACACAAAACACTTGTGTTGGAGAACGGTAAAGAAAATTTTCCAAAACTCTTGGCACAAGCTTCACAATGTTGAGGGGGCGTATTTTCAGCCGGTTGGATGTTTGCGTGTTTCATGAGCCATCGGAGTTTCTTAATGTTCGCGAAGTCGACAACACTGGTACAGCAAATCGCAGCATCTGTTGCAATTGAAAGAGCGAGACGACTCGGTATCTCGCCGCGTGAGTCAAGGAACCCACGACAAAAAATGTCGACTTTACCTGGTCCCCCTTGACGAAAGATGAAGCAGAAACTCATACTTCCACGGACGATTCCCAAATGCGTGAGCTCTGGAATGTCCCGCAAAATGATGGAGTGCATTAATACGTAACCAACTCTTTCACCTTTCGAGTCGCTCGTAAAGCCCAAAGACTCAATGATAATAAAGTCGCGTTGATGGACAACACCCGTAAGCAAGGGTGGTAGTTCATTTGCAAACCATTTAATTCCAAGAAATTGACAAGGATTCGTACGAGTTGGCGATCGGATAGTCGCAAGAAGGCGAGCATCTTTAATCCGGTCATTGATGTGTGAGCTTCGCAGTATCCATGCTTCGTCGGTAGTCGCAATACTCCCAAACAAACAGTCATCTACAGTGCCATCCATCGTGCCATGCAAGGCTATGAGTGCTACACCATGTGGTCTCATTTTTTCCATTATGCTGTTTCCAGCAATTCCAGACGAAGACGAAGAGGATTCGTGGCCTTCAATTTCCAGTTCAACACTGCTGTAGCTATTGACACTACCAAATCGAGAAAACTCATGTTCTCTTGGCTGTGATGGATGATGAAGTACTGGTGGTAATTGTGAAGTGGGTGGACGCTGCTTAATCGCTTTTTTTCGTTGTCGATATACTTGCACTCCTTCTTTTGTTCGAATACGTTTCCAGTCAGGGTATCCAATCGTGTATCCCTTAGCTATGAAAAGATCATTTGCTGCCACGATCTCTTTCACGACGGTGTCGGCTTCCTCAATAAAAGAGGCACATTGATTGTCTGACAATGTGACGGACGGAATTTCGACTTTTGGCAATGTAAATTTCATCGTTCAGTTCTTCTTGTAAGCTATGCCGAAGCAGGTTCAAAAGTGATTGTGGCATTGGAAAGGATTACACCCATGCAACACCGAGAGTACAATACAACCGTCCCAGTGAGGACCTGGAGCTTGGACTGTACGGCTGAGTCACTGTATAGATGGAGATGTACGAGTCTCTTCTGATTTATAACGTATCGACAACATATTAAAGAATAATAGCTGCCATCTTATTAGAATGAATTATAGATGTCTGATAAAATCGACAAGATCATCTCCGAGCTGCACGTTACATGTACAGAAAATCAATAGTAATCCGTAATCAAAGCAAACAGGGACATCCATGATGTATCAGCAAGCAATTGCATATTTGACTTACTCATTTTATATTCAAGTTTGCTCTATATTGAAGGGAATCTATAAGCAGCTATACAAAGTATGGGCAACTCACAAGTGCTATCTATGATGGTCCATTGGTGATAGAGTAGCTTATGAGTCTACACTCTATACTTATTCATAGAGTTAGTGCACTAATTATATAAATTGCAATATAGTATTTTCCTTAAGAGCCCAAGAAGAAAATGAAAAGTAACAAGATTCGCATTGCGTTAGATAAGAAAGCGATGGTAAGATAGGACGAATAACTACGAGCATTGGGCCCTGAATTGGCTCGAAAGCTTGACAAATAGCTGGTAGCAACGCGAGCGGGAGGACGATTGACACTTAACACAAAAAAATGGATGAAACATTGACTGAGCCGTGAGATTCGAGTTGCTGATGCTACACGATGCAATTGCTGAGTAATTGCGCCGTAGTGAAGAGTTTCGTCGTAAGATGGACGCAATTGACAGTAAAGACGATGTTTTTTTGTTGACGACGATGAGGAGGAGGAGAGCGACGCGGTGACGCGTTTACAAAACGATTGGAAAAACATGCCAATGGTTTGGTAAATTGATGAGGATTCAGTTGAGGCCAGCAAAAAGCTTGGTCGGCAGGCTATGAGGTTTATGTAGCGCGCAGCTGAAACGCAGCGAGAGAAGGCACGGAGGAAGTTACAACGCGAGATTTGCACAATTGATGGCGTTAACGGGGACTGCATTTTGTCAGAAGGTAAAGGCGATCGAAGTGCTGCTGAAGAAAGCAACGTTGTTAAAATGAACAAATTGATCAAAGTGGTATTCAAGATGGTTGTTGTTACTGAACAGGACAAAGCAGTAGTTGCAAACGCATTGGCTGGTGGTGCTATCCTAACGGAGGTTGTCAGTATGACTACTGGCATTTCGGCTCGTGAATCAAAAGCTATTGCGATTGATCATGTTAAGGGTAGTAATGGTGTTTTAGTCGCTGATGGAAGCAAACAGGAGTCTATCTCACTTGAATTTAGGCTAAGACGTCGATGACTGTTGAATTTTAGGCGAAGACCGACAGTGAAGATATTGACACGGAGCTTGCAGTAGAAGGCGAAAAGTTCCTGTGGCTTTCCAGCATAACTTCAAAGAGAAAACGTAACAGGAAGAATATGACAGTACAAGCGAACAAAGGTAGGCAGGCGGGTGTTGCCGCAGCGGTTGTGTCTCTTGCAATGGATACCAAGAACAGAAGCAAAGACTGCACTTACTCGCGTAAACTTGAAGTGATCGAGATTAAGACGGAGATTCCAGCTCCTAAGAAGAATACACTGTCAAGAAGGACGCTACACAGGTCTCTCTCGCGTTCGATTTGTAGATGATGCTGAGGATGAGCTTATTCAAGAAAAAAATTGGCTGGCTGTTCAGGATGTCAATTGTAAAAGGGTGCTGAGATTGCTAAGTTAGTTTGGTGGTCAAATCAAAGAATCAAATTGCATGGGAACAGTAAGCTGATATTTTTGCTCTAGAGCCGAAAGAAAGAGCGTTGGCTCGGCAAAAACGCTCTGAACACGTTCTGATTATTCAAAGGAAGAAAGCTGCCAAGTTTATGTCAAAGGATGTGCCGTATCCTTTTTACCGCAAGACAAGAGTACGAGGCGGCGATACGCAATCGTCTGGGCAGCATTTGGAGCGCTTCTTAGGTGACAAATGTACTGACAGCTCTGAATATCATGAATTTGCAAGCAAAACCATTGTTCCACTTTCGTTTTCCAAGAAAGATTGCAAGTTAGCGAAGAAGGAACTTAATTTGATACATAAAGCATAAGACGGCATTTTGCACAGAAATCAAGTTTTGAAATGTCTTCTAACTCTCAAATAATGTAAAGGAGAGGTCAACCCGTTACAACAGTCTATACGCATGATACCGTGGTTACTAACAGCGAGGCTATTCGAAATTGTTAGCAATACCCTAACAATAAAGCTGGCGCTACAAACGTATTACATCGAAGCTGGCATAACTTTTGTATTATAGTAATATTTTGGCACAGCAAAATAGTATTTGTTTCGTCTATATTCTGTAGTTATCATTCTATTCATACTAACAACAATATGAGCATCGGTATCAAAGTCACCACTGGTGCGATCAAAGCAGTAGCATCGTTGACGTCGAGACTTATTGCCGTTTCCGATTTCGTCGTTAATGTGACGTCATCATGTGCAACCTCAGCGTTGGATACTCGACCTACCAAGAGATTAATCGTTGGACTCGTAAAGTTAAACGAAGGTTGAATACTGTCATTCATCAGGTGAGCATTTCCTTGTTCAGTGCCAGAGATCACCGTGAAATCATCCATTACGGTCACTTTGCTGCTACTGATAGCATCGCCCATATACTCAGTAAATTCTGAATACGCCTTGGACGTCCCGTCGTATGGTTTTCCGGACGCTTTCGCAAGATTCACATGATTTCGCCATGTCATGAGCTCATAAAACTGTTCAGATGTCGGTGCATCAAAGCCATGTTTTAACGCTGTCGAGTAATACAACACCGTTTCACACGCAGCACGCATTTCTAAATTGTCTAGAGTGCACGAAGGCATATGAAGTAGCACAACAGCGGTAATAATACTCATACAGGCTTCAGAAGTTACGAGTCCAGTTACAATGGTTGCATCAGGTAAAATGCCTGAATATGGGTAGAGCTTGTAACCACTATCGGCAATGCACCTGTTGAACATATCGTCATTGGCCTTAAAAAACTCTCGCACCGTCTTCACCATGTCATTATTACAGTCGTAATTGTCGACCCACGCAAATGTTTTGGATCCCACGACGGCTTTATTGAGACTTGTCAATGTCTGTAGTCTTCTTGTCTTTTCGAAACCAGAGGTTTTTGAACTTAATGAGACTTTAGAATCGGACCCGTTGACAAGAGTCGAGAAAAGTCCAAACACCATTGTTATCACCACCAGCATCTGGTCTAGAGAAGGCATTGCGCGTCGCAAATCGAACTTTTGTGAGTGGAATTGAGCGAGACGTTAGCGTTGGACCCCGTCGAGGTGAAGCAGACAGGACGATGCGTTAGCACACGAAATCGACGCAGCGTTTGTACATACACAGTACGTGTGTCGTGCAAGATATGGACGACAAACCTATCACCACTACTCGACTCGGCAAACAAACACATAAGCTTACGTCAGAGCCTGCAGATACACTGCGAATTATCAATGCGACATTGCGATTTCTCTGGTGCAGATTTTCTGCTCAAGTCAGGTGGGTCATTTCTGGAACATCATTCTTTTCGATACAAAAATAATACAATAATTTTAGAATTTGCTACATGAGAAATTTTGCAATTTATTCAACCGTATTTGGTAAGTGTGATGAATTATTAGCAATAATCGTACCGTTTCTCGTGAGCGATCTACATCGGTCTGTCTAAGCTGTTCTAGCGACTTCTAGTAGCGAAATATTGTGATATATATCTACGGACAGCGTCCACAAGGAACAATCAGTCAAGATGGAAAGCTTATTATTAATATGACCAGCTCTGAGCAAACAAAGTCTACACCAAATCTGCTAATTTGACAGTCAAACTATATGTCCAATTGTAATACCAATTTCAAGTTTCACACTGACAGTCGTAGCCTCCCAGATTTTTTAGAAAACTCAAATTGTCAAAGCATGTTTGATAGATTATTTTTTGATAAAGATTCCCGTATGTATGCATTTCAAGACTAATCGCTGACTACCGCCAAGACTTTGGTGGCCTTGACGATCGGTGTCATATTTAATTTTGTTGTGGGCTCGTAAATACTTCGTCAATTGCATTCAATTTAGCAATGCACACGTACAGAGAGTCCTGAGTAACTGAAGTGTTTTTTTAATAAGAATGACGGTGAAAAGATCTAACCAAAAAACAGAAGACTTTTACAGCATTTATTTCCGAAACAAATTTTAGTAAGTTGCTGCCAATTTCACAATTGTCAAACGAAATTCGGGCAATCTAATTAGCCGTCACAACTCCTGACTCTTGACAAACGTGAGAGACCAACAAACTGTGAGAGATAAGTTTGCTCGGATTAATTTTGTATTATTAGACCTCGACAAGTAGCCCTCGGAGGTTCGGCATTTGAAAACAATGCGCCTCTCTAACTTAAATAAACCAAAGCTGTACCTGTATAACTAGTTGCCGAGTAGAGGTCTACGAAAGGTCAAGGCTATTTATATTGATGTTGTTGATTGTCAAAACCTGATCTTTCAGCATTTTCAAGATAAAGAAAATTGCATTGAACAATTCAGCTCTCTTTACTATTCCAAACACACAAGTATTTGAATATCAGAGATTGGTACAATTCTGGACAATTAAGGGAAATTTGCGAGTATAAATGATATCGATAAAGTTATACGAATTTAGCAAAGAAAGTCAAAATATTCATTTGAAATATTAGACAATTGTTATTGGAATAGGATATTACTATGAGCTAAAATTAAAGGCAAATGGAGTCTTAGCAATGATCGACTCTCTGTTCAAATTTTCTTCGTCGTCGCTACCTTTCGCCTTCAAAGGAATCTTCGTCATCTCTCTCCAATTGTTCTTAAAAGCTACGATTGTGTCGTCCAGATCAGGCTCCTTAACTACGGTGTAATAAGCTTCATTGTCAAAATTGCGGTCGTAATTTTCGCTCGATATTGGTTCTTTTAAAAACACCAGACGCATTGCGTGTTCTGCTGTGTGTCCCATAGCATCTTGTCGAGCACAAATTGATGAGCAATACACATTTGTCTTACAAATGACGCATCGTCGCAACGGCACACTTTTCTCGACAGCTTCTTGAAGTGTTTTGTCGCAGTTAAAACAACTCATCGCACGCCAAGCCACAGAATTAAGGTTCTTCGCTTTACGACGCCATACTGTAAGTCCGTAAGCCGAATTGCCCCAATTAGGCAACAGAATTTCTTGTTCGAGTACGAATCGACGTTGAAGTTCATTTTCAAAGCGACTGTCACCTGTATCTCCCTGCCACTCACCAACATGCAAGACTACGTCACCTTGAAACAATTGAATACTGCGAACAGCCATTGTATCTCCCGGTGGAGGGTAGCACAAAAATAAGCTACGATTTCTGATGTCTTGCTGGCTTAGAATTTCAGGTCCACCACATTGAACGGAGCAGAAGGGCGGTACATGACCATGATATGCATTTTCTTGTGTACTCTCTCCACTTGGTGGAATGTTGTCAAAAGCAACGACATCCACGCCAGCCCGCTGAAGTAGTGAGCACCAGTAACCTGTTCCAGCTCCAATTTCAACAATGGGTGCATATTTTGCCATCACTTCCAACGCTTCTTGGTTTGGTGTGGCATACGAATACAAGTGACAGCACCAGTCACGGCAATTATCGCGCCATTGTGCCAAAAGCGGATAGCATGGCATCTCCTTCAATGCTGTCACATTTACGTCACTTTGAGCAACAGCTTTTCTCTCACGGCGATAGTGCTTCTTTTGTGGATGTTTCTTAGTGTTACTATGCTTCTTGCTGCCCAAGTCACCGCCCTGTGATGCCTTGAGAATAGCATCCATTTCGCCATTCATTCCAACACCTTCTTCGTAAAACAAACGCACTCCTTCACGCAATCGGGCGTGAAATATACTTAGAAGTGGATTCTGTTTTCTGTGTTGTTGTTGTAAACGAAGTCGTTCCCGCGTCATTTCATCATGCGAAGTCGACCCAACAATAGGAATTTCTAGAGTCTTGAGCACCCGAGAGAGTTGGTCTGGACCACTAAATTCGTGATTCAAAAACGCTTCAAACTGGGACGTACCTGCTTGAGTAAACTGCTCAAGCTCTTTAAAATACTTATCTGGTGACGGCACAGCGCCACACGCACGACCATAGAGTACTAGCGCACTATAATACGTTTGGAAGTACATTTGATCGCATATACAAGCTAACGCAATTGGCAATTCGTCGCGCGATGCTAATCCAACACTTTGATGCGCCTGACGGAGCTGTGCTTGCAAGTTTGTGAGCAATTGCTTCCCCCGATGCACTTCACCTGCTGACTTTTGACCATTCCGCGTGCCTCCATCAGCAAATTGCTTTTTAAGATGCGTAAGCACAGCTTCGAGTCGCTCTAATGCAGACTTGGTCCATATGCGACTTTTCAATATACTCGCACCAATTCTCCCGAGTCGAATGATTTGATATAATGTCTGAAGCAATCGTTGACCACCACTGGGTAACGTAGCAGCAAGATCCGCATCTTCTCTCACCTCTACTACGTGCTGCAGCACTCCATGTTGGCAACTCAGACACTGTGCCTTTTCGATCAATTTTCTTTGATTCTTGTCGCTCGAGTCTTCTTCTGGAAATCCCAATGATCTTGATCCATTCGAACACGCGCAACCAGGCACTCCACATGCTCTCAACGCACAAGTGTCTGGTAGCACGACGGTCAAACTTGTCAATACGAGCTTGTGCGCGTCTTTAATATCAACCGATTCGCTATTATTGAAATCCAAATCTAACAGTTTGATAGTCTCTTTACTTTGTTCTCTTACTTGTAGCTCGTCAATACCTCGAATATTATTCGTTTCGTCATGATGCCGCCGTCGTCGCGTCTTTTTTCTCTCCTTGCGTTGCTGCACGTGGCTAGCAATGTCTCGGTCAACCTCTAGCCCATACTCGGCCGCTAATGCTGCCATTTCATCTTCAATGAATGCAATTTCGCCTGCTTGGAAGCCCAGATGACCGGCCTTACGTTTAAGACCACTATGTCTTTTGCCCATGACTATCTAGTTGGTGGTCTGTAGATTATACATGACTTTTACATCATTTGACAAACTAAATTATTTGTGTGTATGATACAATGCACCAGTAGTGTGACTACATCGTGTAAATATTTCTACATCGGTCAACAATGATAATAAACAAGTATTTTTTTGATAACAGAACACGAAGAAAAAAAATTGTATAACGCGAGTAAAGTGCTACAATAGCTACCTATATGGAGAATTAGTTCTACACTTCGGAGACTTAAATTTTTTTCCGAGGCACAGAGATATCTTTTCGATAGTTCTTTTCAAACCAATCAAAGGCATTCCTATGGGCTGGATGTACCTTAGTGAAATGACTGCCACCTAATGCATAGCTAACTATTACTGGATCTTGGTTTTTCTTTAACATCCATTCAATCATTGCCTTTTCGATTCGTGGAGCCATAGCTAATTTGACGTTGTCTCCACTTTGCAAATACATTCGAAAAATATATGCGAGATTTTTAGCACTGGTAATTTTTCCATCGTCTAAAAGCGCCTCGATTCCATAAATATCCAGATATCCTCTCTCATTTGCGGTCTCCTCACAAGCCGCGATGTACGCAGGCAAACGCTTTTCAAGTGACCAATTTCTTAACCACTCTAACATACTCCGTGGATTTTTTAGTGCCTTTAGGGTGTCAAAGTATTCAAGATTTTTTACATCGTAATTGGGAAGTTGTACCACATAGCGAGGCGTATTTTCGATCGTCTTTACCGAGTCCAGCCACACCTTCCGCGTCAACGAATTCTTATTTACAGATTTCGTACCCCCTCCTTTTTTCGATTCGAACGGCGTCAGTAAAGTGGCTTCAAGTCCATTTTTTTCGTGTGACAGCGGCTTTTTCTCTGGCTCGACCTTCGATGACTCTGAAGGCTTTTTGGCTGTTACGCGCATTAACGGCTTCACCGACTCTTTCGCATGTTTGGACATTGTACGCTTTTGCGATATGGTGTCTTCTGATCCCGGTTGCAGATTAGCCAATGTATCTTTCTTCATCGGATGAATGTCTTCCATGTCCTTGACCTTCGGTCGTTTCGATGGCGTTATTTCAGATTCTGATGGCTTGAATAAATCAAAGATTTTCGTGAGATATCCAAAGACTTGATTGATAAGGCCGTCATCTTGAACATTCTTCGAAGTTGTTGGATGATGTGCTTTCTTAATATGTGGCACTTTTGGTTTGATCAAATACGTCATCGGCATCAGATTTAACTCGGATTTCTGTTCTTTTTTCGGGGTCATTGATGAGATACCAATAGAGCCGTGTTTAAGTCGAGCCAGCGTCTCTGTAGCTGGCTTATGCACGGATGGGCTCATTGGTGCAGGATCGCTCGATATTTTGTTGTTGTCAACAGTTGTCTCTTCTTTTTTTGGCAATACGGCGCGTGTTCTGTGCTTGTCCGGCGCAAGCGTCTCTGCCGACGGACTAGTTATCGCTAAGTTTGTTTCAGGCTCTACTCCTTTTTGAAGATTTTCCGGAGGCGCGATTTTCTGAGGCAACGTTTCTTCTGTCATCGGTGTAGTTTTTGTCGGTTGCTGTGGTAGAGCGCCTTCCGATACCCTTTTCAAATGCATCGATACTTCCTTATCCTTCATGGCGTTATCTCCTCTGTGCTTATCATACACAAACTTTAAAGGCGCTGTTTCTGCTGCTGTTGGCTCATGAATAAACAAATTCTTAAGCCACTAAACGAATTTCTTGACGAGGTCGCCAAGATGATGAAGCCATTCAAAACTCCTTTCCTCGTCGCTAGCAACTTTTGATATATTCATTGCTTTAACGTCACTCGTGTTTTCATTTGAGTGTACATGTGCGACCAAAGCAATGACCGCAAGCCACAAGACGCATATTTGACGGCGGTCCATAGGCTTTTTTGTTATAAGAAAATGGTAACCCCCCAAATATCAATAAATCAAATTTATATCGATTCAAAGGAAAATTGATATGTGGAAAAGAAAAACTTGAACAGAACGAATTTTTCTGGGTTGTACAACCCAGATACAGTAGAACCGTATAAGTTTAAACTGTACAGTTTGTAGCCCTTGATAAATTCAATAAAAACCAACAAAACTTGAAAATCCTCTAAATCTACTGCCTCGGTCCCGATCATTTTATATCTAAATTTTCTATATGGCACAGCACGTGGACAGCATACAAGCTACTGCTCTATTTACTTTTGCTGCAGCTGATGTGTCTAGATCAGACCAGCCTTGTCCTTCACATTGCGAAAAGCTGTGATGAAGTCCAGGCTCTGCCCATTTTGCTGTAGCAAGAATGTCTATAGCGATTCAGGCATCGTTAGTGTTAGTGTCTCAGAAGGTATTGCCTTGACTGACTCAGCGCTGTCATCATCTAGACCCTCAACATTGACACCAGTGGTTGTTTTGTCCTGCAGGTACTCTATTACGAGATCTTCGACTGTTGGCACTAAAGAAACAGCTACCTCCTTCATGTACTTTAGAAGATGACTGCGAAACCTAATTCTGCAAATTTCTTATGACTTCGCTGTCAATGAGTTCTTCATCAGTAGCATCGTCTACATCTGCATCCTCAACTCGAATTTTACAGTGACGAAAACAACGATAGTCTCCAGCTTGCGGTAATAGATTCCTGTTGCATCCATGTTGTATATGTCATACAGAGCATATTTGTCGAGAACATCCGAATTGTAGGCAGAGCTTCACTGATAATAGCCAGGTCGACAAAGCCGCACTCTATAACGCGACGGAATGAACGGTTGGCGTTCCTTGAAGCCTTGAACCCGCCCATTCCAGGGCAGAGGCGGTCGAGAAGCTGAGCTCCCGTATCTTTAAGGAGGCCCCGCTCACATTTACTTGGTCTTGGTTTCTTGTGAATCACTCAAAGAGGCCAAATCCACCATGGGATTCTTAATGATCCTCTGGCACTTTACCTCCAAGTTTGCCACTTCAGGCTTCCCAAGGAGCTCAAAAAAATGCTTTGGGGTTGTTGGTGATTAAGCCTCCACTCACATTTGTTTGATGTGATACTGTAACCACATGGAGGGCTCCATGTGTGTCGCTTTGGATTTTTCTCTTCATATTGACACAGCGCGATACGGATCTTATCTGACATGGTTGTGTGCTTAGTCCCGCTTGAATCCATTGTGTCATATGTGTGTCAGGAGACACCGCGTGACTAGCAAAGAGCGGAATGACGTGTAAGCAAGCAGTCTAGCAGTGCACTCTCACAGTGGTAGATGAAGGCAAACTATCACAAAGGGGTATACTGTAATAATAAGTTTTCTGACTGGAAGAGAACAGAAATCTGATACAGGAGTGAACCAAAAGAATGCGGCAGAAAAATACCAGAATAATCAGTGCCGCCCCTCCATCCGGGGTGGCACACCTAATTATATTTTCTCAGGACAACAGCCTTGATGTTCTGGATTGTTTTTTAAAAGGAGTCGAACATGCAGTGGGGTTTGTAGTGTAATTCAAAATCACAAAGTTTCCAAAAACCAAAAAGGAAGAGACAATCAAATCCTTTATACAGTATGCTTAACCAAAAGAGGTGCAGTAATCGAAATGACTTCCTTTAATTTTCAGCTTATTGGGCACTGCTATAGTGGCAAAGTGCGTTTCTGAGTTCTGAAGCTCTGACAATGGACAATTGGTCATTTTTTTACACAGAGCAAGAGAACAGGGAAGGATGGTAAAGGAACCAATTTCTCACGGGCAAGAAGATTAGTCATTCCTTTTCCGGGGTACAGCTTAAGGGACCAAGTTTATGGGGTAGTACTGTTCTGTATATGCGCTATCTTCGCTGCTCTCCCTGGACCTATATCGGGATGAAAGAGTTCTTTATATGAGTTTCCCTCTGTGATTTTTCGCAGGGAATTTACTATTTCATTCAGTATGCAAATCCCTAATTGTGGCTTTGCGTGGATTACTGCAACTTCCTTATTTGAAAACTCTCTAAATTAAACACTGGATCCCAGTCCCAGCACGTTTTATTTAGTCAGGTTCCTCTGTAATACGCTTTCTCGTGCTTTTGAAACCCAAGTAACCGACAATTTGCTGATCGATCGTCTGGATTGGTGTGTTTTGCGTCAGGACAATCACATCTGAATGGCAATCGAACAACTTCAGGTTTGCAAACAATGGCTTCTCGCCAATTCATACTTGATGTGGAGACTTGTTCTGAATGATGGCACGGTGAGGCAACGATTGCGAAAAAAAGGTAGCCGTGCATCACCGTTAAAATATTCTGGCTAAGCCAGCAAGCTCCAACGTGCAGAGCAAACATTTCCCTTGAATTTGTCCACCTTATCTGATGTGTAGTCACCAACGATGACATTTTAATGAATCTTGGCGATTTGCTCGTCCCTTTTGTAAGAAACTTAAACTCAGCAAACTTTTCGACCACCTTCAAGATTTTTGAACTAGACAGACTACACAAAAATGGGCAACCTTGCCAATAGATCTCACGATATAGCGTTTGCTACTGAGTGTTGGTAATATCATAAAACTAAACACAGCCGTTTCTAGCACGTGTTTGGCCTTGCCTTAGGAAGAATGCATCAAGATCACTCGAGTTTGCTTACTCAGCGCACAACTATCGCATAGAAACCACAGGTTGAGTGACATCAAGTCCTTGTCGATACCACAGTTCTTCTGAAAATGACGGCTAGCCCGCTATGACCAACGTAACCCTTTTAAAGGTGCCAGAGATATGAAATATACCCTTATGGTATATCGACGAGCTTGCCACATTTGCGTGTGCGCTTTGTGATGTACAATCGTAAATCCGTTTTACTTTGTCTCGCGTGGTGGTGTCGTTGACATCACCGTGTCGCCTGTACTAATAGTTTAAATTGCCCCATTGTCTGCATGGTGCACATTTTGAGGCGAAGTTGTTTGTACTTTTTTACATGTCATTTTTAATGTCATAAGCTGCGTTGCACCCAAGTCGACCAGCCACTTGCGACTTGGCATGGTCGTACCAGCGCTACCACCGACAGAAATAATAAACGCCACATTCGCTTTCATTTTACGTGCTGAAGCCTCTGTCTTTTCGTATTCTGGAGGATATACGCCGGACGATATAAGATTCAGCCCATGCTGTCCACAGTAGTGACATGCACTTGTAGCTTTCACCAGTGTTTGCTGTCCTTGTGCCATATATTGTGATACAACACAAACGTTTGACCTCGTCGATGCCTAGTTCTATCGATGCTTCTTTGTTTATTGCGCTATTTGTCTTCGTGGAGCAGCCGAAGCATCTCAAGGTGCCGCATTATCGAAACGACTCTCGGCGATCATGCTGTTATAAGGAGCTGGTGTGATTCACTGAGACTTGCGAGAACAGTGACAACCAAGCTGCCCGAAAGGACCATAGCATCAAGCTGCCTGATTTATTATTGAGCTTTAGCGCATCCACTGATACATCTTCGTGAAGAAGCATCGGAAGCGAAAAAGCTTATTGACCAAAGTCTTTGTCTTAAAGTGTGATCCCAGTCATGACAATGCAACATACACACCATTTGCAGGCCAGACCAAGAAAAATGTAGTTTTTTCGCTGCAAGACAGTTGATCACTATGTCCTTGACAACTTTTTATCAAACGACGACTGGTCTTTCGCGGTAATTCATTTTTTAAGGTTGATTTCCCGTGAAATTAATTCCCTCGGATTCCGATCCTTACGCACTTTATGCACATCTTGAATTTCCCTGTGTGGAAGTCTGTCCCGTCAAAATTGTTTATGCGTCTCAAAATGGAGATGTCCGAAGCGAGGGCCGAGTTGTAAGAAGCAAAGGTATCGGGGCTTGGGCTCGTAACCTCTTGGATAGGTCACCCGACCGGTAGATAGCAAATTGCATTGTGAATGAATCATCCTTTATTTGCAGATCTGTTTGCTATATGCAAGTCTGTTACTGGATATCTTGTCATCTGAATTGATTGGATATCTTCTCACCAGCTGACTAACCGATTTTAAAGCCCGTATATTATCGCTGGTCTAGGTGTAACCTCTTTAACATTATGCATTATGATGCATTTATGTTGTGGTTTGCGCCCATCGGTTCCCCACGAACATCTGCGCTTCGATTCCAGCATGATTTTTAGGAGTTTACGATATAAAAGCAAAGAAGTATGCACTTATGTCATTGGCATTGGCATCGTAGTAAATTCTACATATATAGACTAAACGTCACCTTTGTATATGTTTTTTCGGGAAAAGAGAGAGAATATTTGAGCTATAAATCGATAGAGTACTTCAATACTTTCTTTAGAGGCTCTGTGCTTCGCTCTTGAATGAAGCGTAAGAATCCACCGTCTGAGGGTTTGCAAACGTGGACTCGATGAGACAGATCCATATTTGTGCGATTACGCGGCTGATGTTGCATCTGGGATCACTTATCGTACCGAGTCTTTAGCAATTGTACCAATTGTGAGGGTGAAACACGAGTTGCTCAATTATCTGTACACGGGATTAGCAAGATTAAGAATCTTCTGATTTCGCTTGGTCACGAGAAAATTCACATTGGCGGCTCAAGGGTCGAAAACGGTAGTCGGTCGCCTTGGGGGTGTCTACCAGCTATAAAAATGCGCCGGAAAAACACCTCCAGAGACGTCTCGATCAGTCGTCGATGGATATACACGATATGTCAAGTGTCCGGTCGTCTGAGGGCAAGGATGCAGAAATCTGTCTGCTCGAACAAAAAATTTTAACATGGTCATTTATTCGGCTGTGATCTATACCAATCATTATTACATCGCGCTAATGGCCTCCAGGCTACGAAGCCGTGCGCGACATCGACACTTGTCTACAGTGACTTTACAAACGAAGCATCCCGATACGAATTAAGGAGGAAGGTATTGCGGATGTTTGTCCGCCTAATCAGGCATACCGTGTGCGATCAAAATTCTTGTCCGTCAAGGGGGCAAAGATTAGTTAGCT